GAGAAAACTGTAGTAGTTATTAATAGAATAGTGCTGCTGTGGCCTTTACTCCAGGACTTCTACAATCGATGCCAGGATCATTGAAGTCACCCAGAGGTAATAGATTATAATGTTTGCATATGGGTTGCAATGGACTTAGCAGTTGCACTTCATAACTTTCACTTGAGTTGGGACGCCGATAAACAACGCATAGATTGAGCGCTGGCAAATGCCTGATCTTAATTTTGCACGAGATTATTTCATATCGTAGTAGGCTTACGCCGGCGATCTCTCTCTCCCAACAGGAAAGTTCATTGTATATGTAAATTTCCATGTCTTTGCCCCCTACCTCGAGACCTGTTGTATTGGAATATTTTGTAGCTTTTAATATTGACTTCACCGGTATCTATTGGTTTGGTCAGCCAAACCTATGTCAAGGCAAATATATTCGGTTTCTGCTCAGAAGCTATTAATTTGAGCTTAGGAAGTTTGTCGAAGAGAAACTGGCAGTTGGCATGGTTAATTTCGAGACAGCGGCAGCAGGTGCGTATAGTAGCTTCTAAAGCGGACATTTTTATGTTGGTTAATTTGTCAACCTGGCCGCCTTTTTGCCAAAGAAACTTTCTTTTGACGTGAACTATTAGCCACTCACTTGTTTTTAGGCTGGCTTTGTTCTTTCATCCCGCTTATCAAGAGTCGCATTTTCATTTATTCTTTTGGTTCTTAGTCCGGTTGAAAAAACTCCGGTGCTAATAGTGGGCAAAGACGACTTCCTTTGTAGTTTCGGCGTCCAAAAGGGCTTTTAGTGGTCGTGGCCGAGAGTTTGGGCTAGTCAATGGCTGAGCCGTGCATATTATGTACGCTTTGAAAATGCTTATCGACTCACCGACACTTAGCAGCGTCTTGAAATACTCTTGAATATAATTTAGATCATCTTACTTTCTCCGTAGTACGTGTTGACGTTGATAATGGTACCCCTTTATAGCTCCTGCTGTGGTTACATCAGATGCTTTACCTGATGTGACTTACGTTCCCAGTTCACCCATTTCGCTGAAACTGGAAAAGCTGGCTGCACAGATCTCAGAGCCCCAATTCGTGAAAGATTGTATCGACCTTGTGCTGATAGGACGTTTTTCTAGGAAGAAACGCAGAAGGCATGTCGACCACCGGAATCATTTTTGATTTGTCTGATCTTTCGAACACTTGCTTGATTCCATCGTCAGAGTCAAAAGCGTCAACAAACACAAGCATCAGTTAAAGGGGCCAGGAGCCAATCAACCACCAGTTACGTCAGCAGGGATATACCTGCACCGGATGATAAATGCCGGCGCCAGGTCGATGAATAAATTGATTGAGTTCTCATCCGAGGCCCAGGTTCAAACCAATTCTCGGCCGGTCTTGCTTCCGGCGTGGGCGATTATCTTCGCAGCTATGAAGTTAACCTCGTGACTCGTCGCATAGGTGTGGGGAGCCACTTGCGATAAAACGGCACCTCGTATGTTCGTGTACGTGCGAACCAATCATGCGTTCAGTCTGTCTTGTGTAATGTCGAGGACAGTTTAGGCATAGTATATGATAAACTACAACCGACTACTCAATATGATTTAACGGGTTCTTAATTTTCATCACTCGGCTGTGTATGGCAGTCTTTGAACGGTGTGCAATTTCGATGCGTAGTATCGCAGCAATTCGCTCGGTCGCTCTCGGCACGCCGTTGATGTATGGTAGCGCATGCCATGTCGTACGGGCTGGTTCTGTTTGAGTCCTCGGAGGGCGAGCACATAGGCATTGGCTTATGACGGCCTTGGGTAGTCGTTCCGCATAAACTGATCGCGGTGAGTCCGGATTCTTTTGAACAGTGTTTTCACGCCGCTTCGTTTGTGAGCCACCAGGTGGTTGCTGTGAAAGTTGAGAAGCTTTGCAACGAAACCAGATTTCGCCTGATGAGTCTGTTTGAGTTTTGCTAAAATACTTATTGCATTTTCGTAGGAAAAGCTGATGAATAGATCAAGGGAACTCCGGTGGGCGCTCAAATCTCCGGTTTAGTAGCAGAGTTGATCCCAGAAGAGCTCGAAGAGACTGCCTTCACCCAACGGACCCCGTTACTTTGAAAACACGTTTGCTATCGTCAAAAGGAACAGTTTTAGGAATTGTCTTTTCTCTTTAAATCGATCTTCCCAGATATACAATTCACAAAGGCAGAAGAATAGGATCAGCAGCTACTATTCCTTGATGTACTCATCATGCGAACTTCCAACCGGGAAATATAAACAATAGTCTACATGAAGGGGACGAAAGCCACACAGCTTTTCCATTTTCACGGTAACCATTCAATGGCTCACAAGCAAAGATGCGTGAGAACATTCTTTAAAAGAATCCGGACCCACTGCAGTAATCCGGAAGAATACGTAAATGAGGTCTGATACTCCCGCGACTATTTATGCGGAAGGCTATCCGAAGGCTTTTTTAGGTCAATGCTTACGTGCTCGCCCTCTAAGAACTCAAACAGAATCAGGTTGTACAATATGGCATGCGCTGACATGCATCAAGGACGAGTCGGAATTGACAGAGCATATTGCTGCGGGACTAGGCGTCAGAATTGCACAGCCTCCGCAGGCTACCGTGGGAAGCCGAGTGATGAAAATATTTGGTTTTGTTTGGACTTTAGGAGACCACTCGTCAGCTGCCCTCTTCTCGTGTACATGCCTGTGTTTTCCGTAGTAGACTGTGGTCTCATGTTACGTACTGCAGTGCATTGCTGTGCTGCACTTACCTGAGTCTGCCAGCCTTCAGACTGTACGCTTGACAGATCTTGAGTTAATTCCAAGCATTTTGGTCTCTGTCTCTTCTGATTCGAGATCAGGTTATTAGCAGTGATGTGGCTGCTTCCTTTCAGGTGTTCGTAATCTAATTTATAAACCGTTTTCGAGACCTTTGTATGCTCCCCATCTGATGGCGTGGTTGTTTCTTTTCTATGGACACTGCTATTATTTCAGGGGGGACAGTCGAGTCTTTCTTCTAAACGCATGACAAGATCAAGACATCTATCGCAGTGTACACGCGCAAGCATATTTACCTCATTAGTATTTGGTTCTTAAGTAGTTTGCGTAAGAATGCAACTATCTGCATGACTGGTGGCCTGGGTTTCGCTATGCGCCATCGAAAGCGATTGTGCTATTTCTAAAAGTACCTGTTCAAAGGAAGTAGTTGGTGGTTTAGATAAGCTAGCCAAATTATGCCTTTTAGCATATAACTGCTTGGTTGTTGTATGATGATCGAGTGGTTAAGCTGTCCGCCAATTTTCGGCGAGAAACATTTCTCCTTCTTGCGGACTTGGATCTTACAGGTTTTTTTACCCATCCTTCGTGTGTCTGTACGAGAGTGAAGTTATTTATGAGCCTGCACTGAAAGGGATTGTACTAAGAGAGGTATGAGTATCGATTAATTTCAACAGTCGAAATTCGTAGAAAAGTAAAACGACTCAGCCGTTGTGCTATCAAATCCTTCCAGTTTGGTAAGCCGAGTTAAAAGGCAGTGATACTGATTTTAGGAGCGAGTAAACTTGTACTGATCGTAGAGATAGCCTCCAGAGCGTAGTATAATCCCAAATTCAGTCATGTGTCGAAAACCCAATTACAAACTTCGCGGAAAGCAGGATCGCAGCGTCATCCTTCAGAGATGACTATACTGTCTGTTGTCTACTAAATCACGACATTTGTTACAATTCTTCTGCCTAGGGAACAGTTATTTGACGGGTGGTTGTGCTTTGTTTGACAGTACCAGTTGTCATAATGTTCCCAGTTCTGAGAAGCAGTTGATGTTCATTTGTAGTAGCCTTTGTTCCTATTACCACTACTGTAGTCACCACTTTCAAACGCCACACCTGACTCCTCATTTACAACTCCAACACACCAATAGGTTAATTGCGAAATTTGTTCTCCACAGGGGTAGCAGCAGGAGACATTGCATGAGAAGCGCAGTTGCCAGGTGGTGGATAAGTAGGTTTTCACATGCGTAGAAAACTAGTGGGTTAAACACGGAACTCTCACGAATTGGTTATAGTCGCTAACGTGCCTTGGTGACGTCAGAAGAGCTCTGAGCCAATGACACTGCGAATGTAGCTGCAATTTCGGAAAAAAAATGTGTAGCATCGGTGCTCCTTATAAGGTAAAGAAGGCACTCCTGCTCTCATTTGATCTACGTATATCTTATCGGTCAGTCTGTAAGTCCTTTACGTCTAAATGGTAACTTGTGCTAAGTTATATCTTTTAGTACCCGTTTTGCAGTAAACAATCATCATCCTAATATTCTATGTCTAGATTTACCTATCTAAATTGATCAAATTCTCACTAAAATGCCTAAGAGTACCTCTTTTTCCGTTTGCGTAACCGATCTCCGCTTTTATAAACCTTTAATCATCAGAAGTTGTATCCGTTCAATGACGCTTGATATATAAGTGTAGCCTTTGCTGAAAATTCCTCTTAATATCATCAGGAACGATTT